CACAAGCAGCGCAACTCATTTTCGTCGCTGGCCTTTTCCATTCTTATCGCATGTGGTTGCGATTGTGGTCAGTCCCAACTGTTTTTTTTTGGGGGGGGGGCCGTGTTTCGCTCGCGTGAGCCTGCGCTGCTGCCTCTCTTTTCTTTGCAGTCTGGATTGGCGACGCTGATCCTTGACCCCGGTGGGCACCGGCGCGTGCGTTGCGTCTGCCACTGACTTCACGATTACTTCAATGACCCCCCTGTCGCCCAATCCCGGGGGAATTTCGCCAACCTCTTGATCGTCCTCATCGTCAAACCAGCCGCTTTTCTAAGTCCTTTGGCTTTCTACTGGCAACTGATCAGCTTGCTTTCTGTTGCCCTGATCATTTGTTCTTTGGCAGTTTGACCAGTCCTCGAGCTGTCCACCCAGTCACGGGGCGAATTGCCCGCCTTCTCCCATTGACTTCCAATCATCGAGCGCTTCCGTGGTTTCGCCAGGGCCATGACTTATGACGTGCGTCGCCCTCTCGTCGGCGATTCGCTCTCCCATCTTCAATGCCCCAACGTCCCATTCTAATCCCAACTCAGTCACGGCCGAATAGTTCCCGCCCTTCTACCCTGTGCAGTCTGGACCAGGCAGGCGCTACCCCCTCCCGTCCAGCGGTCGCCGTCTGAGGCTGATGCCCCGCGTGCTATGCGTGCTCTTCTGCGAGCGAGCCTTGTCTGGCGCCCCTTTGGCAGGCGCGTCGGATTGGCCTGCCTGGAACTCTGTGGCCCTCTTGTGGCTTCAGCCGCCCGATGGCTCTTATCCTCGGATAACACTGTGGAATGTGTGGTTCGTGTCTCCTCTGGCAATGTCGCGGCGCCCATGGCACCCTGGCGTGGCGCGTGGGTTACATATTCCGACATCCACCATGTGGGTCAAACCTTTGGCTTTCTTGATTCTACGGGTAGCGAAGGAATAGGCGCGATCGCTATATATTATACTTCGTTGCTCGCCGTGCTGGGGCCTGGCTTGACCCGTAGCGCATCGGCGGAATTCATGTCCTCGAAACGACAGACCTGTCCGCGTCGCGACCATTCTGGCGGTACTCGGGCGATCCGGCGACCCCTTGGTTTGTGCAGCTTATCATCGCTAGACTTGGGTCTGACTTCCACTTAGGCTCCAAGTTGCGTCTCCCTTTGGAGGCACAACGCATTTTCCAATTGCCAGCGACGCCTCGTTGAACTTGCGTGCGTCCTCGGCGTCGCTCACGTGCGGTCTTGCCATCGACGCCGAATCTAAATCTGTTGATTCGCGAGGTGGCGTACGACGCAATCCAAGGCTTTGAGTGGTGAGCGCGGGCCTTTAGTTGCGCCCAGTGCGCTTGAATCGTTCCCGCTGCTCTCTCGACGTCTCCGTTAGCCGTTGAATCTCCTGCAAGGCTGATTTCGAATCTCGCGGCTTCCTCACTGACGGTTATGCAAGGTTTAACGTCGTCCTTGCAACTGATGCCCCAAGGGCCAGCGAACGATGTGAAATCTTCCGTGGCCCTGGATGAAGAACCGTCTAGTCGTTCCTTGATCGCAACTATATGCCATGTCTAGTTGGTCTGCCTGGAGTGCGTAACCAGTCCTGGTTTACCTGGTTGCGCATCTTCACCGTTGCTGTCTTGTGACTGTCCCACGAGTATTTGCATTCTAGCCGCATGCAGTCAGCTGAGACAGCTGGTATTTCATCTGGGTTGGTCTCGCTGCGAATTCTGCGCGCTCGGCTTTGCATCGCGCGCAGCACAGGCGCCATCTGCTGCGTGGCGCATTGCTAAAGTTGGGTCATCATCTTCTGATTCGTTGGGGCGCGGGTCGCAAGTCGCCAACTTACCCGGCCCCCTCGATTGCGAGCGTGCCTCCAGCTCCACTCGCGCCGCTATCACTTTCGCAGTCGCCATCGCGTCGAGCCTCGCACTCAGAACTTTCACTTCGAATGTTTCTGTTGGTTCCCCAACGGGAATCCACGCCTCGGAAAATCATCCGCTCTCTGCCGCGCCCGCTCGTGGCGCGGGTCTCTCTTCCAGTTGGGGTTCGAATGGTGGATTGGTGTGTCCCTTTGCATTTGTGGATCGCCGTTCTTCTGCCTGAAGCTGGGTGCTCCAAACGGCTGCAAGATCTGCCGTGTGCGTCTCGATCTTACTGCCGGCTTCAACAATTTCGGCGCGCCGATCCCTGCGTTTTTTTTTTGTTTTGTTTTTGTCGTCGGCAGCCTGCGCGGGCACGGGTGCCATGTGGCGTGCTTCAGTTTGTCCCGCGACTACTTTTTGCCCGTGACATTCGCTTCGCCGTTTCATGCCGCGTGACATTTTTCCTGTGCTCATCGGGGCGCCCCCGACCGAGTGGCGGCGCGACGTCCTCCATCTCCAGCTGAGGCTGTCCGTGGTTGTCCCCTGTTCATTGCCAACTTATCGGGCTTCGTTGGCTCCCGGGATGCGACCCACTTGATCGCGCTTGTGGCGTTCGCGCTCGCTCATGAGCTTGGCATCGCCTTTGACTCTGCTGTTCCTCGCCGTGTGACCATATGACT